ATATATATAAAAAATAGGCTCAGTGCCTATTATATATTAGGCCTCTTCAAAATATCTCGAGCACCCAACTGATATTACTCAAACTGGTTCTTTCGTTGTTGTTGTTGTTGTTAATTTTTTGATTTTTTTTAAAGACCTATCATTGAGGCTGTTTTCCAGGATCTTTGCAGGTATGAGGCTATACTAGGTATGCAGACAGTGGTGTTGTTGAAAAGGAAGCAGTATTCTTCGACACTTCGTCTGAAGAGGAAAATGTGAAAGCTGAAAAGCCATCTGTTTTCTGGAATTACTTGTGTGCTTGGACAGCTGGTTTTGAAAGGCAAAAGTAGTGTGGAAGAACTGTTAATTGTTTTTGAAAAAATCATAGTAAATTACTTACCAGAGCCTTCTCTACTAGCTTGCAGCTCTCATCAACAGTTTGGCCTATCTAAAATGTGTATACCTGCCTATGTATGCATTCCTTGTCCAGTCTAATGATGCTGGTTTTAAGCAGTTCCCTTTTACTCACGCAGCAGTGTGGTAGGACTGAACACACACTCTGTTACGTGTGGGCTAAAGAGAAGGAGCTGCCAGTTGAGGGAGAGGTGAACTTCGTAAATCACGCTCACTCGATGATTCACCTTCTCCACTCAGACTCTGTAAAAATCCAGTCACACAAGGTAAAAGGCTGTGTAGAATCGCATGTTAAGATGCTCCTTTTTGATCTTGAACGCAGTTAATTTAGCAGTCTGTCAGCTGAGCAATCATAACAATTTGGGAAATAATCTGAGGTTTCATTAAAGTGTGAACTGGGTAGTATTGCCTCCACATAAGTGTGTATGGCAAAGAAGGTCCCAGAGAGTTACTGCCTACCAGCTACTGTACAAGTTTATTAATCTGGCACAACTCAATTGTAGTCAGTCCTGTGTCCATAAACTTGCACCTACTGATTTTTAACTTTTTAATTTTTCTTTTTAATTGCAGGAGACAACTTCCGTGGGCAAGAATGGGCTGCCGGGATGTTCATGCAGCAACAGTACTGGCCTTCCTCAGTGGAACAGCCTCAGTAGCTGGACTCCTTGCAGCAGTTCTGCTTCCAAACTGGAGGCAAATGAGACTGTACACATTCAACAAGAATGAGAGGAATGTGACCGTTTACACTGGACTCTGGATTAAGTGTGCTCGCATTGATGGGAGCAGAGACTGTGTGATATATGACCCACAGTGGTACACTGCTGTCGATCAACTGGATTTGCGTGTTCTTCAGTTTGCCCTTCCACTGAGTATGTTAACTGCTGTCTCAGCTCTGTTTCTCTGCTTGATTGGCATGTGTAACACAGCCTTTGTATCCAGCGTGCCAAACATCAAATTGGCCAAATGCCTCGTAAACAGTGCAGGCTGCCATCTCGTGGCTGGCCTCTTGTTCCTGCTTGCCTGTGCCATTTGTCTCACTCCGTCCATCTGGGTCATTTTTTATAACAACTATCTGAACAGAAAATACGAGCCTGTCTTTAGCTTTGACATCTCTGTATTTATTGCCATTGCCAGCGCTGGCGGTCTGTTTTTCACTTCCGTTCTGCTATTTCTGTGGTATTGCGCATGTAAAAGCCTACCTTCTCCTTTCTGGCAACCCCTCTATTCCCATGCCCCTAGCATGCACAGCTATGCCTCTCAGCCGTATTCTGCACGCTCTCGCCTCTCTGCCATAGAAATCGACATTCCTGTTGTGACACATGCATCTTAAGACGACAAAGTCTTGGAAGCCAAGTTCTTGTGCTCATTCAAACTGTGAAAATTGCAGGCTTGATTCTCTCTGCTGCCTTGCACTGAGCGTAATCATTTGTAAGGTCAAGTTTCCCAAGGTGCAAAGCAGTGGAAACCCGAGTTCAGTAAGTCAGTTGCTGTTCTCTTGTGTTACTTCCTGACCCACCTTTTTTTTTGTTGTTTTTTTTAATCTCTGAGCTCACTACAGACAAAATTGCTGCTAATGCTGGGACAGCACACTAACAATAGTATCCGTTCATCCAAGCCTCTTTGATAAGCTATTATTAGCTTCTGATCCCACTAAGAGCTACATAGGTGGACTCTTGCACCCGTGCGTTACCAAAATGCAGGCAGTGGAACTGGGTGCAGGGCGTTCACTGAGTTTCTTGTTCATCTAGACATGCATATTTTAAGACGTGATGTCTGAAAAGGGTATTTGGCAGACTAATTCAGTTCTGTAGCACTGTTCTTTGTTTTCCACTGCACACACAAAAAAGCTACCTGCTTAGGAACTTCTGCAATAGAATTGCTGTTAAATTACCCTTTATTTTCAAAGTAGCTATCAGAAGAAAGAAAACTGACTTAACTAATAACGTTATTCTGTACTGTAATAGCATTTTGTGAATTACTGGAGGCTGGAAACTTTTGTGAATTTTACTTCTAAGCTGTTTTTAATAAATCAGCAAATTCACTAGATCTATTTTGTGACTAAAACAAAACCCACTTGTATTTAAAAATTCTGTTTAGAAGCTTGAATATTTTATTTGAAGGCTATCTTAAAGTAGGCTTTAAAGTATTACTCAGTTCTGGAGAGAAATGTTACTCACTGCAAAATGTATTAAGAAAACCATGGAGAATTCTGAAGGCTATGAAGGATTCTTTTGGAACACTCTACACAAGCTATAACATCTCTCTAGGAAAGGGATTATAACCCTGGGGAGAGATTTTTAAATCTAGATTGTTGGTTTTTTTTAAATGTATATACAAGTAACAATGAGCTTGTGTATTTTTTTAAAGTTGATCTTTATGGCTGTTGGACTTTTCATGCTGTATCTTATTTAATTACTGATTAAGTGTTAACCTTTTCAGCCTTGTTCTTCAACACCTCTCAAGTTGAGCTATTTTAAAATCCTGTTATTTCTTGTGCTGTCACCTCACAACTGGAGGAAGTTTCCCGTTCTTCTTTTCTGTAAGATGAGGCTTTGAATAAGTTGTGAGCTTCACCTTGTAGCTCTACAAGGTTGAGGAGGGATTATAAATTCCCAACCTGGGATGTCTCCAAATCATTTTCTTCCTTCTAAAATGCAGAGCAGCTCAGCCCTAAGGATCAAAGCTTTTCAATATGGGCTTTGAAATTACTTGGAAATTTGATGACAGTGAGTTGAAGAGTGTTATAATTAAGGCAAGTATTTGATTGTCTCAGATTTTGGCAAATTGAGATCTTGTGTTTTAAGATGTCGTTCCAGTAAGGAAAGTTATTTTGATTGGTGGCATTCTGGAGCTTAGTGGATATTTGTATTTCTTTAATCCCAGACCAAATTTGTTTTGCTAAAAAAAATCAAGTAGAGTTGTTTAATTCCAGTTCTGCAAACTCGTCTGAGATCCTGAAAATCAGTTTGTTTCTTTTTCCATGCGTTAGAAATAGGAACAAACGCTGTGCTGGGCAAATCTTGTTCTATTACAATCTCTGCTACAACAATATATTAAGAGGAATCATTTTGTCTTTACTGGTAGGCCTCAGGCTTTAGTGGACTGAGTGAGGAAGCTGATCTCTCTTATCAATTCTCATCATAGCCACTAAAGTGACAGACCTTTCAGGCAGAGTGCTTGATTAAATTGCAGTCTGAGGAATTAACACTGTAGATGATAAAGGATACTTAAGGAGATAGGCCTCTAAAGTTACATGAATTTAATACGCTCTTAGGTTTACAAGGTATGATGTTAGATGAAGTATCTTTTTTTCTTTTAATCAGATCATGACTTGTATGGGATTAGAACATGCGTAATGACATGCAAGTCCGCACTTTTTCCTTCAGAGTTGAACTTTGCTTTACAGTTACTCTGGTTGTCCAACCTTAGATACTGTTGCTGTTTCAGCTGCCCGTATCTTTTGATGCTTTGTCAGGTCAAAACAAAGGAACCAATGGTTTGTGATGTCACGTCAGCTTGCTTCCCCATCGCTCCAGTGTCCTTTCTTCTTTGTGCCTTGCTTAAGTTATGACTTGGCCAGTAAATGTCAGTTTACAGTCAGCGTCCGGCATGCTTTTCTGAGCCTGAAATTACAAAGCATTTTGATTATTTTGGAGGTATCTTAGTGACTTTAAAAGGAGCTGAATCTTCAACAATTGTTGAAGGCAGCCTGGCAAAGCAATGTTTACTATGGAGAGTAAATGCAGCCAGTGTTTTGTTCTGTATACTTTAAATAGCAGATGTCTCTGACAGCTCTTTTGTATTCTGACTTTGATTTTTATGCACTAAACTTTCAATCAGTATTTGCTGCTGCCTAAGCTGCTAACCTGTTGCTTTGAAAACTGTGTCTTTTTTCAAAAGTCTGAGATGGATCTGAGTTACGAAAAGTGGGGATCCAAAAGTTAGTGGATTCCAGTGTAGGTTTCGGTTAAGGTCGTCTTTATGAAAATGACTGTTGCGTCATGTTGTATCACCGAAGCACGGCTGGGTTTCTTTCAACAGTGCTGTTGATGTGAGTTTCTGCTGGATCCTAAGTGAAATTAACTGGAAGTGCAGTGCTATATTTCTCCTTCTTTACAGAAGAGGTGGCCAACCTATGACACTTGAGCCGAGTGCCACTCCAGCATTTCTCTTGCCAAGGTTACCATCATGCCAGCGGCAGGGCCGGGGAGTGACAGGCCTCCCTGGATTTGGGGAGAAGAACACATGTGTCCTGCTTGTGTCTGTGCCAGGCACGGCTTCTGTGGAGCGGTTAGCAGACCTGGCTCCTTCCTTGGCCCTTTGCTGTGTACAGGACAGGCACTCTGGGTCTTGAACGCAGGAAGATTCTGATTTGTGGCTCGTGCAGTCAAAGGTTGGGTGCTCTGGGGTTACAGGAATCTGTATTTTTTTCAAGTAATTCCCGTCCAACTTCTTAAGTTGTGTTTAATTGCAGTGTTGGTTCTTTTTATGTGAAGCAGAAGATATGTATTTTTAATAAAACATTCTCATACAGATGCTGTTTATTTTGATTAATTTTGTGGAAAACAGTAACTCCTAGAATATGAAAGACTTTACCTGTTGTGATGTTGATCACCGGACTTGCCAGATTGTTTCATACTTAACAGGCTTAAAATACATTGTGTATACTGCATTTTAACTGCCTAATTTTACCCCACTGAAAACTTCCGTGCTGGGTTTGTTTTCTCCTGGACTGGTAAGATTTGTGTTGTGTTAGTGTCATGCGAGAAAGGCGGTGGTGGCGTTAGCCATCCTCTTCCCTTCTGCTGTGCTCTCAGCTGGAGAATAGGCTACTGCCTTACGTGTGAGCGTAGCTTGGGCATCCCAGGGACCTGTGGCAGTCCAGAATGGCGGTAGTGGTTAGTGATGCTTCGTTTCTGTTGTGCACTGCTCCTGGCAGCTACAGCTCAGCAGCATTATGCCGACTCAGTACTGAGCCTTTCCCCATTGTTATGGGCAAAATACAAACGCTTTGAGCGTTAGAAATGCTGATGCCATAATGCAAGTTCACAAAACAATCTGGATTATTTATGCAGAATGTAAGGAGACTTGCTGGCAATTCCTCCGTAGATTTCTGGTATTGTAAACTGGCAATCTAGTATCTGTTTGGGGAAAG